GAGAGGCCCACTGTCCCAGGTCCCCAGCTGACCCCAGCCCCAGCCTACCTGGAGTGCGGGCACAGGGGTGCCACTGACACCCCCACCAAAGCCCCGCTAAATTATAGAACTGTGAGCAAATAAAATGATTGTTGTTTGAAGCCATTGAGTTTCGGGTTGGTTTGTACGTGATAATAGATCAACGAAGCACTAACTTTTCTTAAATCTTATGGGGCTCCCACTTAAGGTTTCTACATGGAATTTTCTCACAATCCCATTTGCCACACCATCTTCTGCTCTAAGTTCTTAACCGGTCAGGCTTGTCATGTACAGTTATATGGGTTGTGCACTGTGCCAGGATACCTCACCAAGAGAGCCAATGGGGACTGCTTGCCTGGCCCTCACCTCAAGAGGGCACTTTTTCTAAATTGCATGAATATGTCTTACCGACTCCCAGAGCTCTGACAAACAGTATTCAGCTGAATCAAATTCAAAGTTGTCGATCTGGCCCCTGAGCTTCCTTTCACTGCCTAATGCCACCTTTGCTCTCCCCTCTAACTTTCCCTCTCACTCTGCTCCTGAATCTTGGCCCAGCCGAGTTAGCCTACCTCCCATCCTGCCTTCCAGTTGGTGGCGGTTCCCAAACTGGGGTTGTGCCTTCTAGGGACGTCTACAAGTGCAGCCCCTGGCGCTCCGTGCACTCAGGTGCCAGGACAGTTTTGGTCTTGTGAACCTCAGAGGACCTGATGTTTGCTTCCAGGCACATCTTAAGAGATTTCCAAGCCTGTTAAAGCACAAAGGCATGGTGAAAACACACGTTATTCCATTTTCAGACTCCGCACGCAGAGGGCCAAGCACGGGGGTGGGGGTGGGGCGCTGTGGGGCTGAGTTTCTCTGCTTCCAGAAGGGTGGTGCTTCATTGAACAGAGGTCCAAAGGCACAGGGTCCTGCATCTGAGCCATGGGAGCCTGTCTCCAGGGGAAATTCTTTTCCTTTCAATTCATAGCACAGCCCGAAGGCGAAATGTTCCAATACGCCGTGCAAGTGGACCAGAGCGACACGGGATACGCGTTGTCAAACTTTGTAATCTTACCCTTCATTAAATATTCAGCGTGGATGATTTGATCTCTTCCTTTTCTCAGCTCCCCCCCTCTTCCTCTGCGTTCCCCCCTTCATTCCTCCTCTCTATTTACCTGCCTTCTGGGAAGTGCTGACTCAGGGTCTCTTTCGTGTCAGGGGCACAGCCAAGGGGGTGTCTAGACCCAGGGCGAGCGGACAGACCATCTGCTTTGACCCAGGACCCTGTAGGAAGAGCGGCTGCAGCCTGGCGGGAGGGGAGAAGCAGCTCCCTCGGGATGCGTGCCCCCCGCCAGGACTACCCAGGTAACAGCGCAGTCATGGTCAACATTCCCAACTCTGAAGGGGTCAGGTGCTCACTGGCTTTGTGCTGGAAGGGAAGGAGTGCCTGGCCACGTGCCCTCGAAGCAGTGGGCTGCTCAGGACAGTCAGCGTCCCCGGGGAAACACAGCACTGTCCAGGGCAGTGGGCTCAACTAGAGATTTCCGTGCCCACCTTTCCTAAGGCGGGCCTCAGCCTATGACAGCTGCGAATGCTGAAGGTTGAGGGGCCTGGGTGCAGAGTATTTGCCTGCAACGATGGTTTGGCAGCCTTGGGCTGGAAGCCGCAAAAATAGTACAAGCAGTAATAGTATCTTGATATTATTGTATGAGTTAATTGACGCTTTTGACTGAGCGGATAGGACATGTTAAGTGTTCCCTCTCTATTGCCTTCTGTAATCATTGTAACAACTCGATGAAATGGGTAATAGTGGCTTTTGCAGGCGAGAACACCAAAACTCCGAGTTGAAAAAGCATTCCTATGCTGGGAGGTGGCAGACCTGGGACCCAGACCTGATTCGAGGGAGGCTCATGCTGGCATTCTCTCCTGCCAACGGCCCTGCCCCCTGGGCCGCGAGCATGGAGGCACGGACTAGGCTGGTGTGGGAGCAGACAGGAGCTCCAACACCCTCGTCCGCACCTCCCGCCCGTGGCCACCACCACCTGGCATTGGCATTGCCGTGGAACAAACCCCCTGGGTCCCTCAGGACCATTCTGCTGCCGCCTTGGGATTCTGCCCTTGCAGTTTGAGAAATTCTGGAATAAAGCAAGGTTGGATACACTGAGTCACCTTATGCCAATTCTCTGGGGGCTCTAATCAAGCCTCAAGTCTCTTGATATCTATACAAAGAACAGGTGGGCTCTGTGCTGAGTGAGGAACACAGCTCCAGGACCAGCTGGCTGTTTCCTGTGCACAGCAGGGCTGGCGTGGAGGGGCTGGGCTGGGGGCGAGGACGCAGTCGAAGGGCCCTCCCCACCTATGTGCTTGCCCGGCATTCTCCGTGATGCAAGGGAAGAGCCAGACCTGGCCTGATTTGGGATTTGATGGGCATTTGTAGGGTCCTAGAAATATACTTTTTAAGACCACAAGGTGATTTCACACCCATTTCTTCTGGTGAGGCCATGAGAAAATCTAAATGAGGTATAAAGGCAGTTGCTACTTGAGATGAACTTTCTTGAACAGAGACAAAAAATATTTTTGTAGAGAGAAAGTATTCTCTCCCTTCAACTCCCTGAGCAGGAGCTCTGGAGAGAGGGGTGGCTTCGAGGCTGCTTTGGTAAGGAGGTGAGAGTCAGCTAGCTGGGCACTGCCTACTGCCAATGTCCTGTTCTTCTGTATTCACGAGATGCTCTGCAAGTGATGTCACTAGAATTGTCCATCAATTTTTTTTCATAAGGTTGGTCCTTAGGAAGAATCTAGCCAGGAAGTAGGAGCAGAGAGGAGAAAAATATAGAAGATACTTTCATTCTCTTTGGGCTCAAGAGGTTAGGTTCTTGGGACGTTCCGGATGTGATATAGATTAGACTGCATTTAAAAAAATTTTTTTTAACATTTATTTATTTTTGAGAGACAGAGAGAGACAGAGCATGAGCAGATGAGGGGCAGAGAGAGAGGGAGACACGAATCTGAAGCAGGCTCCAGGCCCCAAGATGTCAGCACAGAGCCCGACGCGGGGCTTGAACTCACGAACCCTGAGATCATGACCTGAGCTGAAGTCGGATGCTTAACTGACTGAGCCACCAAGTCACCCCTACACTTCATTTTTTATCTATTTAAACCTTTTCTAAATTTATGTTGAATTAATCTCATCGTAAGCCCACTGGCACAGAAGCGACTGAGAAAGGTCACAGTCCCTGGATTCCTCTAGGAAAAGTTCTGCCAGTTCTTATCTATCCTCAGTGCTTCGATATTGTGCTTGTGCGGAGCCAGAGAAATGGGCAGGACAGAGACCTCAGAGCGTGTGACGTCATGAGTCCATGGCACCGAGGGGGCAGTGGGGCTTGAAGAAGGAGGGTTGGGTCTGAGGACAAGTTTCTCACTCACCGATTTAGACCTTAGGTAAGTCTCCCAACTGCTCCAGGCTCACTTTCTTCGCCTGTGAATTGAGGACGAATAATGACAATGGAAAGCACACTTCTGTCCCAAGGAAGCCATGACAGTTCGATAAATTAATGTGTGTGGAGGCACTTGATCAGCCCTGATGCCCTCTGCTACTGTACAACGTTAAGTGCTCCTGCACGTTCAGGGGCATGGGGTCACAGGGTCAACATCGTGTCTGGAATGCCACGCACGGAACCCGTGCTCAGTACGAAGATACTTACGATGTCCTCTGCTAGCTGCATTTCAAAAAGCATAGTCATCGCTCTGAAGCAGGATATAAACATTATTTTAGTTTTGTTTCTGTGTCACAGACCTCTCCAAGTGTCTGACAAAATGCCTGACGCTTTCTGTCTCTCTCTCAAACCAACCAACAAACAGAACAAAAGTCTGGCAAAAATAAACCGTGCTGATACACACATCCAGGAACACTTCCCATTCGGTGTCTGGGGTCTCATCGTCTTCCTCTAAGAGCTGTCCCAGCTTCAGCAAATGCCTGTGCTAGAGATTTAGAGGCGTCAGTCCTCTGAGTAAAGAAGGGAGAGAAATAGACTGTATGGAGAAACGAACGTAATAATGACGTTTGCCATTTGCCGGAGAAAGATCCTAGCGGGGACATCCCTGAGATTCTAATGTATTCAAATGATGCTCTTGGAAAAGCAGTTGATGCCTGATCATGACTAGTCTATTGAAATGAAAATGTGTTCAAGCCAAAGGACGGGGGACTGCCCCGTGTACACGGCCACCCTCGGCTCACTAAGGCTTTTGTGCAGAAAGTTGTCCCGATATCTGAATCCTCCTGTCTCCACAATGGGCTGCTATCCGGTAACCGTGGCGAGGTCTCGTTACTGCAGGGTGAGGCGCCTCCAGGACGCCCGCATGCCTGCTCAGGGCCCAGCTTATCGAAGATCTGAGAGCCTCCTGCCAACGGCCCTGGCCGCGTCCACCCTGGCCTCTCTCAGGGGACTGGATTTTACCTCAAGCAACACACGATTTTTGGCTTCGTGGTGTTTCTGCAAAGGAGGATTTCATTTTGGATGCGAGGCGCTCGGGACCAGAGCCAGCTCGGCCAAGGTGGAGATGTGAAGGTCCGCGCCAAGACCAAATCGAACGGAGTGAGACCGCGTCCAGAAGTGGAAAACGAACAGGAAGGAGAACAGCTGAGCAGAAGCAGCCTTGCCACGCTTTCCGCATCCAGCTGGAGCCTTCGATGGAAGAGCACGGAAGGTATTTGCATCCGGTGGTGCTCGAAGGCAGCCGGGGCCCTTGCTTTTAAACTCCCAGGGCACGTCCTCGTATTCCCGGGTGGTTGATGGCATCTTGGTCATTGGATGTAAACGTCCCCCCCACGAGAGATGCCCCGGCTGCCCGCCTGACCGAGCCCACACTCTCCGGGATTGCAGAGACCCGAGGCCTCCTGGAAGGCGGATGGCGGGAGGCCCGTGCGTTGGCACCCCTGCCCCCAGCTAGATCGAGTGGCAGGGCGCAGGCGGCTGGAAGGCACCCGCAGAGGGAAATCGAGCACCATGCTCAGAAAGCTACACTCTCTCTTTAACCCCGGCCCGCAGAGGAAGGCGGAGGTGGCCGAGAGTGCCTTCTACGACCGAGCCGGCCCCGCGGTGAGGCTGACCCTCAGCAGCTCCGTGTACGTGGTGGGGGACCACGGGGAGACGTTCAGCGAGTCCTTAAAGAAATACAAAAGCACCGGCAGCATGGACACCAGCCTGTACTACCTGCAGCAGGAAGGGGACCAGGCGTGGATGTACTCCCGCACCCAGGACTGTCTGCAGTACCTGCAGGAGCTGCTGACCTTGCGGAAGAAGTACCTCTGCAGCCTCCAGGACCTGAAGCCGCACGGCGCCCAGGGCGTCTCCTCTACCTCCTCCAAGTCTTCCAAGAGGGCGGAAAAGGCCCCTGGCCAGTCCACCTCCCAAGAAAGAAAGGTAAGTGCTGTCGAGATGTACACTCTGGATGAGAATTCATCCAAGAGCCTCGGACGCGAGTTGGAACCTGGTCTCTCCGCCCCCATCCACACACAGCCTAACGAGTCTGCACATTCGGAGCAGTGCCTCAGTCATCCTGAGAGGCTTTGCCGCCACCTCCTCCAACTGGGGAAGGGTGGCTGGTCCCAAGCTGCTTCTTTTCCGGGAGGAGGTGAAGGGGAGGAGCAGTTAGCGGTATGGACAGAGCAGCCTGCGGGGAGGGCTTGGGCCTCGGTGCCAGGGGGTCCCGCGTTTGCATCGTACCTCTGTCATTTACCGCCCGCTTTATGGACGAGAGAGCGCTCGCGTGGCCTCCAAAAATCCCTGGGGAAAAGTGACATCTTCATGAGACCTAGATGGTTTTCAATAACCAGGCGTTTGGCTGCAGGGGAGCCAAGCAACTGTGGGACTTGTTCCACCTCCACCTTGGGCTCCGGGTGTGCTGGGGACTCAGGCACAGCCTCGAGGGCCCGTGACATCCAGGAGACTGCCTTGCTGGGCCCTGGAGGCTTCAGGCCCGGGCACCCCATGCGGGAAATTAGTGCAAGAAGTAACTGGCAGTTATCTTGTTCGTACCTATTGTGGTCTTTGTACACATCATCTTTCTTGGAGCCATCTAGTAATTCTGGAAGGTCAGGTGGGAGAAACTCCCATGTCACGGCAGAGCAAGCCGAGACTCGGTGACCTGCTCTGATAGGGCCTCCAATTCATTAGGGGACTCATTCCTTCGTTCCTCAATTTTTTTCTTTTTTTTTTTTCAAATGCCTGAGGTTTCAGGCTATTTTACGTTCCCATCAATTGCTTCCCTGACGACTGCACTCTAAGGTGCTCAGAGCGGACCTGTCTTTCCCACATCCGGTTTCCCCCCAGTGGGTCCTGTGAGCTGAGCAAGCCTCATTAACGCTGAATGACTGATCGGCCTGCTCCCAAATCCCTAGGGCTTGGCCTCGCCCGACTGGTTTCAACTGTCTGTATTTTGCCCCCGGGGTGGGCAGTTGAAATAATCACTTCAACTCCCAAAGTAGGTCAGTGTCCCAGTACCTAGCCTTCCGTTCCAGGACTGACCCTGTGGCCAGCCAGCTGCAGATTTGGGAGCCAGACACCCCTCCCTTCGGGGTCACCTCCCATGACAGAAAGGGCTGCAGCGCGTTCTGGACTCCCTTCCAGCTTCGATACCCTGAGGGGTCTAGGCCCTGGTTAGATTCCCTCCAGGCACTGCATTTTCCTGAAGGGATGGGGTTCTCTCTTCGTAAAGCCTCGTTCCCTATGTCCACGCGCTCCTCTTCTAGTTCAGCTGTCTGAAGATACAAGAAGGGCTGAGGGGCAGAGCAACCAGCTCTGGCCAAATGGGAATGGCTGTCAAGGGAATGACACGAAGCGTGGACTTCCTCAGGAGGTACCTCTTGCCATGGTGGAACCAGAAAAAAAAAAAAACAACAAGTCTTAAACTGGCTCTGAAGGCAGTCAGCTAAAACTGAACGTTAGTTCTGAATGTACCGGCTGTGGGCCTGTTGGCCCCTCTGGGCCTCGGTTTCTGCAGCATACAAATGGAAATGAGAATATACCTTGTGGGGAAAAAGCAAGAGCCTGCCTGTGACAGACATAGGTGGTCCAGTGTTTACCAACTCTGAAATGCAAGGTGTGGGGGGCTTTTGAGCCACCTGCAGACAAGTGGTCTCCTTTGTGGCTCCTCAAGAAAGAGCTATATGCTGGGTGCGCCGGGGGAATAATGGTGCCATCTCCGTGGCTAGCAAGTGTGGCCCGTGGCTGCCTGGCTCTGTGCGTGGCAGGGGCAGGGGCCCAGAGAGCTCCTTTCTTCCAGAACTTCATCTGATAGGACCTCCTGCGTCGGTAGAAAACGCCTGCCGATGCTCAGATTCAGGGCGAACACCGTTCGCTTCCCTGACTCCCTGCTGTGGGTGGACTTGTGTCTCCCCAAAATCGTGTGTTGAAGTCCTGACCCCCCCCGCCCCCGCCCCGGACCTCAGAAAGTAAACTTATTTCGAAATAGGCTGGTTACAGATGTAATTAGTTAGTTAGATTGATTGCAGGCATTAGGGTGGGCCCCTAATGTGACACCACTGGGGTCCCTATAAGAAGGGGAAGTTGGGACCCACACGTGCACACGGAGACCCCCAGGCGAGGTCTGGAGTTGGCTGCCACAAGCCGAGGGCCCCCCAGAAGCTGGGTGGGACCTGGGAGTGCTTTCAAAGAGAGCCTTGCGCTGACAAGATCGTGGCCTCAGACTTCTGGCCTCTGGACTGAGACAGTAAGTTTCTGTCGCTCTAAGCGGCCCAGCTAGTGGTACTTTGTTCTGACAGCCCTAGGAAAAGAGACCAGCCCTCCACAGAACTAGCCGTTTCTCTTCTCCTCCATTAGTCTAAACACATCTGTGTTCTGGCATTTATCCCCTCCTTCTGTGGCAGGTTAGCATGTGCGTCTCCTCTGGGGGACGGCGACCTTGGGGAGCTTGAGGAAGCGGACACGGGTTCTTCGTCGTTTTTCTGTCCGCAGGGCGCAACAAGGAATGCTTCTTGGTCACTTAGGGATGCTTTGTAAACTTTAAGTCTGGTCTTCCGTGCGTAGATCCTGGAGGGGCTGGCCCCCACGTAGGGAGCGGGCAGTGCTCTCTGGGCATCACGGCACCACGCAGACTCCTCTCCCTCCCCACAGACACCAGCCCCCGGCCTTGGCCACAGAACTTAAGGTCCCCTGTCCGTCTCTCTTTTCCGGAAAGATAACGGCTTTTAGGCTGTTCCATTTAAAACTCCCAGCAAGAAATATCGTTTAGGTATTGACCCAGTTGACTCAATAACAACCAAAACAAACATTTCATGAAACGCACGCATTCCTGTTCTCTGTTTGGTCCTCTGATTTTTTTCAAAACCTTCCATAGTCTTCTTGTCTGTTTTTGACATTGGTCATGACAGTCACTTTATTTCTCAGGCTACTACAGGGTCAAGACCCACAGTTTCGGACACCCCAGAGTCAAGGCATTCCAGCAGGGCCTGTGGAAATGTCAACAATCTCTAAGGCATGATGCAGCAGGGTGCCAAATGGTCTGTGGTCCCAGCGCCTTGGAGATAAGAGAGACTGGATGTACCCACGTAGATAGATGGGAGGAGGAAGTGAGCACAGGCCAGAAGTGAGGCGCGCCTGGGGTGGGTGTGGAAGCCCCTCCTGGGTCCCTGCATGGGGGAGGTCGTGGCCAGGCTCTGTGACAATCTGCTCCTCCCTCAGAATAGAGGATTACAAAAGTGAGCAAAACACACATTTTGCAACATTTGAAATCAGAACAAAAACCCCACATCTGAGGACTTTTGTGTCAGTCTTGGGTATGAGCTATAGTGTGAGACTCACTGTGTAAATGTCCAAGTGTTAGAATTTCTGACACATGGGCACCTGGGTGGGCTCAGCTGGTTGAGCGTCCAGCTTCAGCTCAGGTCATGATCTCATGGTTTGTGAGTTCGAGCCCCGCATCGGGCTCTGTGCTGATGGCTCAGAGCCTGGAGCCTGCTTCCGATTCTGTGACTCCCTCTCTCTCTGCCCCTAACCCACTCACATTCTGTCTCTGTCTCTCTCAAAAATAAATAAACATTAAAAAAAAAAAAAGAAAATAGATGTTCTTCCTGGGGCACCTGGGTGGCTCAGTTGGTTGAGCGTCCAACTTCGGCTCAGGTCATGATCTCACAGCTCAGGAGTTCAAGTCCCGCTTTGGGCTCTGTGCTGACAGCTCAGAGCCTGGACCCTGCTTTGGATTCTGTGTCTCCTTCCCTCTCTGCTTCACCCCCACTCACGTTCTCTCTCTCTCTCTCTCTCTCTCTCTCTCTCTCTCTCAAACATAAATATAACATTAAAAAAAGAAGAATTTCCAACACAGTGCAAAATTCATGTGGCAGAAGGAGAGCCTATTTGAAATGGGTCCTGTCCTGGAACATAGAGTTTCTGAACCAGTAAGGTAAAGTCACTCAACCCCCTGCCCTGGGCACCTTGAGGGTTCCTGCCAGTGAAGACGAGTAGTGCTGATCTCCTCCCCACACCGCCCTCCTCCCCCACCACCGCTGCTCCTCTGCCACAGCCCAGGCACCATTAGGAACAATCTGCAACTATTCCTGACTTCTAATCATCCTCTAAACCCAATATGTGGAGTATTAGCCCATTCTACAGGTGAGAAAACGGGCTCAGAGACAGTAAGCGATTTATGTGAGGTCGTGCACCTGATGAAGAGACAGCCAGGATTTAGACCCAGTGTGTGTGGTGTCTGAGCTCACACTCTGGTCAATGTAGCCACAGCGCCTCTCAATCAGAAAACGTATTTTGAGCTTGTATAATATACATCGATGGGGGAGTGTGCACCTCAGGATGAGGTAAGCAGGTTTCTCTATCCTGCACACCTGGGTCAAGGGGAGTCATCGGAGAGGAACCCGCGTCCTACTCCGCCTGGATTTTGTGCTAGGGTAAAGCTCTCTCATGGGAGCTGGATGGTTTAGTATTCCCTTGTCCAGGAGAAACCTCGGCCAGAAGCACGCCCAGAAGGCATGTATCAAGTTCTCTCCTCCCCACAATCCATGAGTCAAATTCCCCTCCATCTCCCTTCCCCTTCCCTACACATGGCTACTTCTGAGTCCATTTTTATTCTTGGCCTCTGTAGCATTGAAATCCTGAGTTTGTAGTGCCTACTCTCGTACGAGGAAGAAGGCTGGGGAAACAGCGTGAGCACAGCTACAATGGGAACTTCACGATGGGACGGATGTGCCCTCAAATCATTTCAATAGAAATAGATTTTCATTCTTTCTAACTCATTCTACAAAGTATCTCAGGTGAGCCCCATACCAGCAGAAAGAGTAGCAGCAGAAACTGACAAGTTGGGAGAGACTAAAACACCAACAGAAAATCAACATAAAAACGCAAAAGACTACACAGATCGTACAGCTAACTCAGCGACTACAGATGAGCTTTAG